ATTAGCAATTTAATATATAAAACCAGATCAGGGTTTCAATTTAATTTTTGCCAAGGAGGAATTCCCCCTACACAGAGTAAAGGGGCAACTGCACTTCAGTGTATAAAATGCTTTATTTAGACTCCGGTTCTGCACTGCAACTAAACTGCAGATCCCCTCTAGAGTAGCACTACTGAATTAAAACCTCTCTAGAAGTCTTAAAATGATTACACATTGATCAAAATATAATTGTTCAGCAAATATTTTTTTAAATTACATTAAAATCTGTTTTACATTCCAATTCACATTCCCAGGTGTTCTTTTAATTGAAATCACAAAATGAGAAAACATATGAATATTTGTGATGAAAGAGCAAAGAGCTTTAACATTTCACTTATTAATTGAACAATGAAAATTGTAATATTCATTGTTAAATTTTACATACAGTTATCCGAGTTTAAGTACAGATAATACAGAGGAAAGCAGACCATTGCTCAAAATCAATACCTCATGTAGCATTACATTTAACCAGCAAAGATGGTTATACGTACTATATGGTCGAAGCATTTTTATATGACACTTAAGCTGTAAGAATGTAATTTCTAAAAGTGTAACCGAGGGGTTATTAAAGGGGTGTAAAACCTTTTTTTTTTGAAGGGCCAGACTGAGGTGAAAAAAAAACAATGCACAGCAGACGAGATACCACTAAATAACTTCATCATATAAAAGACATGCATTATAATATGTTCTCCACGGAAAGACAAATAGGTTTTACACTCAAAACCTAGGTCCAATGGTATTGCCACTGAACTATTGATTGGATGAGCAGCATAATTACACAGGTACGTCAAGTGAGTATGTAAGCACTCAGAATGACCGAGAGAATGAAATGGGAAAGTGGTTAGTATAGTTCTTCCGTGGAATAAGCCATGACTCTGAGTGACTATGTAGCTTGTTAAACACTGACTAGGAAAAAAAGTTCAGTGCATCTAGGCTCCACCCAGAGGGAAGTGAAAACACAAAAAGTTCATCAACAAAGAGTTTTCCAAGTTGTGGTATAAGCTGGGACACTTACAACTTGTACTGGAAGCTATTTTCATGAGATACTTTGTTGAAATCACTGAAACTTGCTTTGCACATCATTTAGAGAGAATGAACTAAGGGTTATTTTACACAAATATTGTACTGATACTATTACAATTACAATGAGCAGGCAGTGGGAAGACACAGTGGCACAGTATTTAGCTTTGCTGCCTCACAGCACTCGAGCCCTGGCTTCAAGTCTTACAGTGCTATGAGTTTATACTGTACATTCTCCTTGTATTCATGCAGGTTTCCGGAAGGTGCTCCATACCAACTTAATGACAGCCATTGCCTGAACCTTCAAAAATGTGGAAATCTTCACTTCAAAATCCGCCTATAGTTTGAATTCAAACCCCACAATTTTCCCTTGTCTAGTAAGTTCACAAAATTGAGTTATGGGTTCCAAGCTGCAGTCACTATTAAACAGGATAGTTTTTACAGTCAAGGCCACTTTTTTCACTTATCATTTGCCAGGTCACAGGTCGGAATAGAAGTGTTGTAAAAAAGAATAGCTTTAACTCCAGTGCCCAAAACCATCCAGGTGAACTGTTGTAGCAAACATTGGGGGTTGGGCAACAGAACGTCTCTTGCCTGGCAGAAGTTGTGTGGAATGACCCTATTACTTTTCAGTTCTGTATAATATTTCTACAGGACCATCCTGCACTGTACTTGTTGTACATGTGTGAACAGCTTGAAAAATGTACAACTCTTTAATCCATAACAAAATTTAAGCACTGTAGAAGCAAAGGTGTTTTATGGAAAAAATAAGATGACACCACAGTATTTGATGTACAAAACTGACCAGAGAGCAATAAGACCAATTAACAGTTTTCAAAAATCTGAAAATATTTTATCTGAACATATTTCGTTGAACAATTTTCATTCTAGATTGCAATTTTTTCCTTTATTTTTGTCTCTCAATACCAATTTAAAAAAGACTCACATTACAAACTGAGAAGGATGTTTTGAGGGTTATAATTTTCATACCCCAAGTAACCAACTCAACCACTTCATCAAATACAGCTCATATAAGAATCTTAAACTCATCACTCTGGGACACTCCAACATCTTTCACCTTTGCAGAGAAAGACAGCTCCTACCTGATGTAACTCCTCTCGTTCTGTGTAGCACCTTTGCCAGGCAGAAACCTGGAAGGAAACAGGAATATTTCCATATCTTACAACAAAAAAACTAAAAGTAAAAGCTCCCTCAAAATCATGAACATTCAAACATACACATGCTTTTCTATCTCCAGGGGGGAAAGAAACAGGAGTAATTGATTTAAAAAAAACCTTGGACTTTGGATAAATATACGAGGGTGGTCAAAATTAGTAGTATCAAGACCTGGTCCTTGGGGGACCACTGTCTCTTCTAGTTTTTGCTCTGGTATCTGTTTATTATAAATGGATGACACATCAAGAGCTGTTTATTCAGAGATAAGAATAAACACAGTTTCCAGCAACCAATTAAAGTTTGATGCTTGAGGATGTTGGAAACAATGTGGTTAAAGTCAAGTGCTTTTGAAACTGAACAGAATGCAGAAACAGGTAAACCAAAAGTCTAAATAAGCAGATCATTTACAGGACTGGAGATTTTAGAACTGAGCTAGAATAAACCCACCAGACATGGTGGTCCCCCAGGACTGGGATTGGGGACTATAGTACTAAATAATCTCAATTACACTTTCAGATCAGGAAAAAAAGTTTGATTCCACAAAGAAAGAGAAATTCACTTGGAACTGTATGATAATGCAATATAAAGCAATCCATTCAGCTTTGGGTTTACAGTGAATATTTTAAATTGCATTTAATTAATCTAAAAAAAGTAATAAGAACAACACTGATGAGTATACTGCATGTTCTTTATAGGAACTGGTATTAAAGAAGAGATGAGGTTGCATGTCAGGAAGAAGTTGTGGTGTAGAATTGCAAAGGCCACGTTAGGGGTTTGAATAATTCATTAACTGTGCCGTCAGTGTATTGCCACTTATTTATTAGTTACTAGTTAGTACTGTAAGTACTGTTTAAAACCTGGCATTTCATATGATGAAAAATTGCACATTATCAACTGGGAGAAGGGTCAGTGTAATTAAATAAAACTTATAAAGGCATTAAAGACCAAGGCTTTGCTACATTCATTAAATACTTTAGAGTTACTCACCAATTTCTTCAATGAGAAAAAAAAATTAAGACAAGCCGATACATAAAAAAGATTAAGCCAATAGATTGATGGAATATTTATTTGAAGAATAGCATTAAAACACCACAGATTAAAAGGAAGATTTCAAAGATGCCACAAAACTCTTATGATACCCTACTGATAGACATACAATCCAAAAGGTAACATTTGCAATCAACAGCTGATGATACCTTTTTTTTGTCATGCAGGAAACCATTCAGTAATGGTGAGATCTAAAAATCGGTGATAGTCTAAATATCGAAAAGTTGTCTTCAAATGACAAAGAAACTTTATTTTTTAACAGATATTCAACATTATTTCTTCTGAACACAAACTGAAATGGATCTTAATGCTTACTCCTCAAAGATGTACATTACAAACTGCATGCAGATGTGCAGTCTCAGCAGTATTCACCAGAAAAGGGGCTGAGCATTGAAAAAAACTAAGCAAGACATGAGTGCCTCCTCCTACTTGAATAATATGGCAAACTTTTAGGAACACAATCAGAACATAATTCATATTACATGTTCCTGGGGATTATATTTCAGAAAGGTGCATCTAAATGTTTGAGACTGTTTTGAGCATTTTTGTATCTGTAGACTATCTGCATGTATTCTCTGCAAAAAAGGGATGACAAACTGCTCTGATGACATCAACAAGCATAATAATTGAAAATACCTTCAACAGTGGAAGTTGCACAAGATGACAGGAAGAAAAGTGACAACGTGAGAGGAGATTTACTATGTTTTGGTAATTATGCATCAGTAAACATTTAAGTAAATAGGAGAGATTAAAAATGTCAATGTCAATCTGAATTATGAGAAGGCAGAGCTGTGGTGATGATGCTGGTTGGCATTTATTGTCCAGTTGATATTTTCTGCGGTCTTTCCAGACTGCATTCTCAGCATGTTTATACTGGAAAAAAATTACCAGAAGGCTAACTTTTCTCGGTCTGGAGTAAAAACTTTTAAAAGGATATGATTCATTGTGTGAGAATTTGTACACACAAAAAGATTACATGAATCTGGAATTTTTGAATATTTCTGTTAGTGTAAACGCAGCTAATATATGCTCTGTAAATATAAGCACATCTATAAACCACATGAGTTCAGCTGTAGAAAGTAAAAGTGTGGGATTGCACATGCATATTCATGAACTATGAGGTTCTTATAAAAACAGTTTGTCCTTTGCCATGTTTAAGATAGATCACTTTATTAGCAATATACAATTGCATTAGGAATTCGTCTTTTCGCATACCCCAGCTTGCTCTCCATGAGACACAGACACACAGACGGAGAGAAGCTTGGGGTCAGAGCGCAGGGTCAGCCTTTGTACAGCGCCCCTGGAGCAGTTGGGGTTAAGGGCCTTGCTCAGGGGCCCAATGGAGTAGGATTCCTCTGCCAGCCATGGGATTTATCACTGGGAGGGAGGAGGAGGCAGCTGAGTTTCAACTAGGGTTAACAACATTTTCACTTCCTAGTTTAATTACCTTGATCAAAATGTTTTGAACAATGGGTATTGCTTGGTGATATTTATGTAGCTATCCTTGGGTCAGGAGGCAAGTAAACATGGCACGTGAAATTAAAGATCAAGAGGAATTCTAATATGTTACGCTGGTTATCATTTAGACCATCATATTAGAGACTAAAACATCAACAGGAACAGATACATTCCTAGTGAGGTTATTAATCCAGCTGTCACAGAAATGGGCTATAGCATAATCTCAGATTGCCCCCAGGTTTAACTTCTTAATGATTTCTGAAGATATGTGTGTGATTGTGAAATAAGTGCCTTTCTTTGTGGCTTTTTGACCTCTTTATAGTATGAGCTATGGAATCAAGTCTAACAGGAGGAAAATAAAAGAATGGATACCTTCCATTTAATCAAAGGAATGAATGCCTGTTAATCTTATTAGAAGTAACGGTGAACTGTCTAGTGCCTCAACAGGAATGGCCTGTCCTCTGTGGCTCTATTTAACTACTACTAGCTCACATCAGATCAAACAAAGTTCCTTGAAACTAATTTGAAAATTTTAATTGTGATTTTTTTCTAATTAATGTTCTGTCCTACACTGTTTGGCTTTGATGAAAGAATTACAATGTCATGTGTGTGATATCTACAAAACAACTACACCTAGAAATTAACAATTGTGTACAGATAGTGACATAGAAGGGATTCAAATGGCAAATATTTAGGATTTTTGTAAATCCACCTTTAACATTATCTAAACATTTGAGTAAACTGGGGTTATAAGCTATCATTTCTGTATTTTATTCTAATCACATTTCTGGATGCAGTGAACTGTCAGTATTAATTTATTAGAGAGTCCCTGAAAGTAGCTGATTTGTAAAGAACATGGAATGTAATTATGTTAAAATGTTAACTTGTTTTCAAGTTTTTATATTACACTTCATGTAAAAGTGAAACACATTCTGTTCAGTTGCAAATGCCAAGTGTGCCAAACGTTAGATGTTCTACCAAATAGGATCTTCATGCAAGGAGTCTCTTCCTTAAGGCTACTTTAATTCTAACACAGGTGTAAAACATAGGTGACTTTGAAGTTGAATAAAAAAAACAATAAGATTCCTGATCTTATTTTATTGCAAAACATTTGTGTTGTGTACAATTGTAAATCAAAAGGGAATATCCATTGTTCTTATTTTCCTGTTTTCCTATTCTATTTTCATCTGAACTCTCTTAAAAGCTTTAAGATAACTAATTGGATTGTTACTTTTTCAACATGTTAAAGTTCAAAGCTCAACCTATGAAAAGGGTACATTTAGGCTACTTAGAGGTACTCTAAGCTTATGAAAATGAATATTTATTACTACAAAATTTTGTTTTTCCAAAGTTTCCAAGAGTAGGTCATTTAAATCAAACATCAATGACTCTACACAGTCTGCTAAACACATCTCTGTTGAGTCTCATACAAATTTCTCATCAGTATGTTCATCCTTGTCAGTTACATCAGCTTCCACATTACTTGGCCTTACTGTCTTTGTGGTTGCTTTATGTGGGCACAGAAACAGGGGAATACAATGTTTAATTTTATATATAACCATATACAGACACATTTAGCAATGCATATATAGAAAACATGAGTGGGATTTAAATTTAGCAAAGTTATGATTAAGATACACAACACACTGGACCTCATTTAGAATACTGTGTTCAGCTTCTGTCACCTTAACTAAGAAAATATATTATAGCCTTAGAAAGTGTACAAAGAAGAGCAACAAGAATGATTCCTGGTGTCAGAGTAAAGTTGTATACAGACAAGTTCAGAGAGCTAGATCTACACAGTTGAGAAAAGAGGAGAAAGAAAGAATCATCCATGATTACATCTATGTATTCAAAATCCTAAGAGGTATGGATAGATTTCAGGCTAAATAGTGAAACAGGGACACAGGGTCACAACCGGAAACAGTAGGGGAATTTATTTAGGACGGAGAATAGGGAGCACTAATTTTTCAGAGAGACGTAGGTATCCGAAACAAGCTTCATAGCCAGGTGGTTGAAGCCCAGATTAAAAACACTGCTGGATTCATTTTTTTTCCTTAGCTACTGAACTACCAAATAAGCAAGAGAGGCCAAACGGCATCTCTCATTTGCAACCTTTCTTGACTTCTCATATTCTTTTACAACTTAATTCACTTTAGTCGGATTTAAAAATCAAATTATCCTATAGGTTTTGTAAAATGAAAATACAATCACTAATGCAGCAATTACTTCACTAGACTTTGATTTAATTCATAGCTTATCAGCACATTATTTGGCATGTCAATAAATAAAAGTTTCAACTGATATAATGTCATATTGTACCATACAACACTGTGCTTCTGCTTAATTAATAAAGTTTTACATTTTTTTCTATATTGCAAATACTATTTAACAACACAAAAACAACTTTAAAAAGAAACCAGAAACCTGCTATTGTCACTATTACAAGCACTGCTGTGGTTGCAGGATG